GTTTGCCCCAGTCAACTGTGAAGATGCTACCCTCGATAGTGGCAATGTTGTGTCAAACTGTGGCAGCAGCAATGGGGGCGGCCAAAATCTCCCTCCAGGCCCCAGCCCTTCCACAGCTGCTAAAATGCATAGCCCCATACCTGACATGAGCAAGTTTGCAATGGGAATAACTCCATTTGAATTTGAGAACATGGCAGAGTCAACTGGAATGTATCTCAGAATAAGGAACTTGCTAAAGAACTCACCCCGGAACCAGCAAAAAAATAAAAAGACTTCTGAATAAGGCTTACCACAGCACCAAGAACTAGCTTTTCAATTCTTTTTCCCTTTTTGTTCTGTAAACTAATAAGTGGACAGATAAAATTATTACCTTCTGATGTTTAAAAATCTATCTCAAGCTTAATTGTGGTCTATAGCCCAAGCCAGTTTTTTTAAGGAATGGAAAAACTAGGCCCTTTATTATATTTTATTCTCTCCAGCAGAAACTTGGGTTAGGAGCAGGTTTAGAGTTTGCTTGTTAAGCTTAATACTATTTTTGGATTGTGAGTTTCGGTCAAAGTAATGGTTTTTATCTGTCTTTTGTATGTTGATTTCCCTTTATACCTTTTGCTAACTATCCTGTACATAAGTTTAATATATCACTTTTTAAAAGAAAAAAAACTAACCATTTTAAAGTCACAGTGCAACTCCAGCAACCAAATAAAAAAATCAGGGAGGAGCAGCTTTATCCCATTTGGGATATTTTTGTAAATGATTTACGTGCATCAATTTTAATAACACTTTCTTTTTTGTAACATCATCTCACAAACTTGCTGCAGGTATGTTTATCTTTGTGGACAGAGGTTTGATAAATTAGTTTTCATAATCTAAGACTAAGTACAATCAAAAGTAATGGTTAAATTTGTATACAAAACCATAAGTTTGGAAGGTACTTAATGTGGTGCAAAAATGAATAGTAGCAAAAGTAAACACAGTTCTACGAAATTGAAAGTTTAGGTGTTTTCCATAGGTTTTTACCTTAAATCTAGAAAATAAGATCATTCCAAGGAACCTTTTTTTTTTTTTTTCAAGGAATAATTTTGAGGGAAAGAAAAAAATGGAGGCAGCTAACCTTGGTATAAAAGTATTTTCTAGATTTGAATCCTAAGATAATTTACAACTAAAAATAGACATAGATGTCCCAATTGTCAAAAAAGAACCAGAACTTTGATTGTTGTCATTATTTGGAATGTCATTACACCTTTATATTTGGTCAGATGTGTGAAAATAAACATCTAAACAATCTAAATTACTTGGTCTCCAGTCAGTAGTGTTACCCAGTTCTTGGACCAGCAGGGGGAGCAAAATGATGGCACCATCTTAGATTTAGGTTTTATTTGAAGATTTCAGGAGTGAAATTCACAGTTACACAAACAATAAAAGTATTAAAATAAATAACCGACTGCCATCAAGTCGATTCTGGTTCATAGCAGCCCTGTAGAACAAAGTCGAGTGGCTCCCTGGGGTTTCTGAAGCTGTACGTCTTGATAAGGAGATAGTCTCATCTTTGTCTCAAGTGCCTGGTCAGTGGAACCGCTGACCTGTGGTTAGCAAGCAGCCTGATACAAACCCCCTTCGGCTTCCGGGAAAGGATTAACAGGTGGAGCAAGTTTCATTTGAAATCTCACTGAAAATGGCAGAAACAAAGCTAAATGCACTTGGCATTTTTCTCTGAGTTTAAGTACGTAATAAAAATCCTTTACTAT